GTTTACTGCTTTTCTTACAGGCTAAAAGAAGAGAGGCTACAAATGCAGCGAGTTCTGCGTCTCTCCAGTTTACAGTTCTTGTCCTACATCAAACTTCACAAATAGCTCGAGGCTGTGGAGAATGGTGTGGGCTGTTTGGTCTAGCAGTGAAATCCTTCCCAGCAAATGCTCCCCTTCTTCCTTCTCAAGTAGAACAGCTAGGATAAGAGCATGTGACTCAGTTTTTGCATAGCTTCATTTCCCTGTTTTGTAGGCTATAGAATTTTTGCTGTCCTTTTAAATAGAATGAAGAAATATCAATGTTTAGTACAGTGAGAATTTTAAAATTATTTATAGTCAGTCCCTATAATTAATACACTGTTTTTATTCTAGCAATAAAAGTCATGAAGGGGATAAATTTATTGCAGCTCCACCTTCTTCACCTTTGAAGAAACAGGAATTAGAAAATTTAAGGCAAGTAAATAATACAAAATATTCACCATTAAATGAGCCCCCTCTTAAACTGTGCTGTGATTCTGGAGTCTTTGCTAACTGTTTTTTTAAGCACTTGCAATGTTGAATTGTAACTGTTAATCTAAGGATGCCCTTTTTCAAATGCGTGTACTTCCTTTCTTCTGGGCTGGGAGTGTGAACAAATAGATACCATTCAGAATTTCAGTTCAGAGGGCAGATCAATCTGTTTGATCCCGCTATTGTAGGCTTGGTGTTATATATTGGGCAAAACTGAAACCCAAGTCCCATAAATGACAAAGCTAATAACCTGACAATGGCTATTGTGATTGGTGGAGGGGGTGAAAATTACTGTATGGTACCTTTTCCCTTTCAAAGCCTGGAGAAGGCTAGTTTGGAATTAGACCCCCACAACATTGTATGCTTATTGGGTGGGGGCAAAAAAAAGTGGTAAAAGCATCTATGCTGCTTTCACATGAGTGATGCTCCTTTCAGCAGCAGGAGTAAATCCACAGTTTGCATAAAAGAGAGAGAAAAATTGCCTCTGTACAGACAATTTTTTTCATTTTTTTGACTGCTTCATCATGGAAGACATAGGTAAAATTTGACTGTAGACCTTTTCCTGTTCTCAAAGATCCTTAACCTACTTGTTGAGCAGTCTGAGTGCTCTCCAAACAGAATAACTCCCATGTGTCTAAATAAATATCCTGTTATCTGGAACCTCTTTACTTTTCCCCAACAAGATTATCATTTGCTGGCAATGTTAATTATTTCAGTCGGCTGCCAGCCTGTTGAAAATCTCTCTTACTATGAAGCTTGCACCTGTTTAGAACAAAGAAATCTGTTTTAAGTTTCCATTATGGACAAAGCATACAGTCATTTCCCACTTAAACTCTTGGGTAAACACTCTGTTCCAGCCTAACCCCAGGTAACCTGTGTGTTATAATGACCAGCTTAACCTTTACTTTGCTCCACTACGTGTAGCAAATCTACTTGTATTCGTTTAAAAGCAATTTAGCAGGAATCTATGAAGAGACGTTACTGAGACCTTGATTGTTTATTCTGAAGTGGTACAAGGGTATGCTACTCAAAATAGAAAGCACTGGATTAAAAACAGTGATGTGGGCTGGTTGTGGGGTTGGTGGTTTTTTTTTTTTCCTCCTGAATGTTGAAAATGTGGTTGCCACATGTCAAAATTACATGGTGTCACGTTGTGGTGTTTTGTTTGTTTGGTTTTTTTTAATACATAGTCTTTCACAATCAGCTATTGTTACCTACTGATGAAACCTGACAACATGTCAGGAAAAACATAACAGTCTAGCAAGAATTACACTGCATCTGGTAAAGAACATCACATAAGGAAAGGAAAAGCATTGGTTTCTTTTTTTGCAATACTTGCTTTGGTGGTTAAATCCAGAGGACTAGACTAAAACTACTTCTAGGTTTCTGCAGATAGCTGTGAAAAGCAAAATACATTACACTCAAATGTTAGTATATTCCTGTAGTCTTGCTCTCTAAGGACCTAAGTGAGAAAATTAAAATTCTTGTCTAGTCAGGGAAAAGTAAGAAAAAATACTGAATGTTGGCAAGGATTATCCTGAGGAATAGGTGTCTGCCTATTCAATTCAGTTTTTCCGTGTTAATTCACTGGATTGAAAACCCTCTATTGCTTCTAGAACTGAAATGGGGAACTTAACTGGGGTTTTTTTGCATGATTTTGTACAGTTGCACATTGTAATAAGAGTTTACAATGACTGACTGACTTTGCCCGTAAATAGTTCTTGAAAATTAAAGATACCATCTAGAAAAGGCTTATGTGTCATATGTATCGTTTGGCACTTGTGTACAAATTAATTGAACAGTCCATTCTCATACTAAGCAAGGTTTTAAAAGCAGCAATTGCAAGGTTTTAAAAGCAACAAGCAGAAATCTGAGGACACCAAATGTTGCTAAGAATTTATGCATAGGAAGCAGAAACTCCAGATTTTTCTTCTGAGCTTCCTCTAAACCATTGTGCTCCTCACTTCTCATCCACCAGAGAGAGGGCAGTTCCCCTGCTCTGCTCTCAGCCTGTGGTATGTTTCACCGCGCCGGAACAACCCAACGCTGTTAGGACACATCAAGAGTAAAGAAGTTCTGGTAGACTGCAGTGCTACATGTGGAAAGTTCTGTGCATTTTATTGTGAAAGTTAAGATGGCTGGCACCAGGCCTTGCTGCAGCCTTTTACTCCCTAGGCTGAACAACTTTATGTGAAACTGTTAATTTTCCCTTTCAAAGCAACTAGAGATAAAGGAACAGTTTGATCAGCCACTTTGTCCTGAATAGATTTGAACTGCAAGCCCTTGCTACAAGGCATGTGATCCTGTTTTACCATTTTTTCTTTGACTCTTCCATTGGCCTTCTCCAGTCCATCATTTTGCTTTATTTATTTTATTTACTCATGTATTTTTGAAGTGTGCGTATCTAGTATTTCCAGGAGCATCACTGACATCATTGCCAGTAATTTGACAGGTAATAGTGTAAGGCCCACCGTTGCCCACCAGTACACCTTGTCTATTCTCCACACCTGCCTACTATTGCCTCATTTGTCCGCTTAAAGATTGCAGTGGTCTGTTTGACCCTGCCACAAGACTACAAGCTTACAGTGATTATCACCTGTAGCTGCCTCACTCTCTTTTTCCTCGCTGTCAGCCACTGCATAGTTCTCCCCCGTCTTGTCTTCACTGGTGCCGAATTTCCCCATTGAGTAAGCACAGTCTGCATTCTGTATTATTTTGGATTGTTTTGTCTGTGTTGAAACATAAAAGGCAGATACCTTATATCCGTTATTGAGCTTGGTTAGCTATTTTAAATTATTTCAGATTAGCGAAGTTCTCTAAATGGTTTAGAAGTGCCGTTGTGGGTGACTTGATAGTAAGTTTTGAACAACTGGATTTGCTCTGGCTCGACCTTTGTCTGAGAAATAAGCCCAGTCAGATGCGGAGCTTAGGTTCTGTGAGATTGCAGTCAGTGTGGGCTGACAAATCTTGTTGCCTAGACCTACACAAGAGGCTGTTTGACATAATCTGGCAGTTTAAAAAAACATTTTTCTTTTTCCTAGTGCAAAGGCAGTTTTATTTAGGGCATGCGGAGGCTCAGTGATGCTGGAAGTCTGCCGTGCTCAAAGGCGACCTGTGGAGTTTTGTCAGAATCCTGACCGGGGTGAAAAACTAGTTTGTCTTTTCCCTTGTGGTGCAATTCTTCTGCTCCGGTTGGCTGTCAGCTCCCCTGAGCGTTTGGTTTAGCCAGTTTAACAATGGATCCAAGCGTGCAGGAACAGTACTGCAGGGGAGCAAACCGGAGTATTTTCCTCCTCTTTAGATGGCTGTTCCTGAAGAATCTTGCCAGCTCTTACACAGCTTAAACATGGACGAGTCTTTAGACCAGAGGAGTAGCTTTCAGTTTTGCTGGACTTGCCTGTTGTGTGGTTGGAGTGTGTCTTGCCATCTGCATTTACACTTTCAGAAATAAAAACAGGCTTTAAAAAGTTGTGGGAAGTAGAAGGCACGTGCTGACATAAAGGGCAGTAGCAGCCAACTCTGTGGGCCTTGACTTGTGTCTGGGGGTATGCAGCTGGTGATACTTAGCATCTCTGCTGGTTTAAAAGCTGTGCTTCCTGGAGGCAGAGACGAAAAGAGGTGAGTTGGAAGGTGGCTGTCATTACCGAGGAGACTGTCTTCCCTGTTCCCTCCCCCTCCCCAGTCACAACCTTTCAGAAATATTTTAGGTTTGGGACTTGAGCTGGGGGAGCTTTCCTCTCCCTTCCTCAAGCTTTTGTATGTGTTCAGATTTGATGTGACATCTGGGCATGGTGCAGAGGAAGTGGGGGGTAGGGAGAAACACTAGAGAAGTTTCTTATCCTGCTTGTGCGTAATTAAGGAGCCTGCCTCCTGGGAAAGGGGAATAAAGGCACCCCAGGCCCTGTCACGATTTACATGACTTACTGCTGGACCGAAAGCGGGCTTGACAGTTGCCAGAAGGCTGGCACGGTAATAGCCCACCTACCGACAGGAGAGTCGGAGGGCTCTCCTCCCATCGCTCCCAACGCGAGACCCCGCTAAGAGGTTCTGCTCTCCCTCCCTGGAGAGGGACAGAGTCGGCGCTCACAGCAAGGCGTCGCAGCGTGCGGCAGGCAGAGGCTCGTGCCCTGAGGACAGGGCAGCCTGCGCTGAGTGGGGCCTCGCCAAGTGGAAGATGTCCCCAGGTGTGGTGTTTGGGGAGGGGGGACGGTGCTTACAGAGTGTGAAGCTTGGCGAATGATGGCATCCTGACGCGGGGTTATTGTCTGAAGGTGGAAAACACGAGTAGCTCAGATTTCCTTACAGGAACTGTCAGAGATTTTGGGGGTTTGGAAAGAGAAGAAAGTCTGCGACAGCAACAAAACGTCACATATCAATCAGAGCCTTGGCAGCAGATTGCAGCTCTCAGTCAAACACAAAACTGGAAACGCCAAATTCTTCAGCATTTGTCATCTCCCTGTGTGCAAACATTGCACAATAGGAGTGAAATACGTTACAACTTAATTGATTGCTACTGCGTGTTTGTAGATTGTATGTTACAGAGATCTGCGAATCTGCTACCCTTTGCTGCAGCAGAAGGGGAGGGCAGGGAAGTACAAATGAGAGTGCCCGGCAAAACGAGTAAAAAGAGGGTGGGAAAGGGGCCTGTCTGTAAGAAAAATGAGGGGTGTAATGAGGTTCATGTTTTTTTTAATGTTATTTATGATTGAAATTTCAAAATCTTACTGAGCATGCAGTGATGGTCCTTGCTTTATACTGGGTAGAACACAATGTGTGTATCTCCTAATTCAGAGAATGGGATGGAGGCCGTAGATAACAAAACACTACCTCCTTGACTTCATAGTTTTGATGCAAAGACATATTGAAAGGTTATGATTTATTTCTTCAGCACTAAACAAGAAATACATCTTACAGCTGCATTTGGAATCACAGAATTCTGCATTTAACATGCTGTCTTTCCCTCCCTTCCACCCCCCCCCCCTTTTTTCTTTTTTTTGCTCAATACTTGCCTGCAGTGCTTACGTGGCTCTGGCTTTGGGTGATAACCTTATGGCGTTGAATCACGCAGATAAACTTCTTCAGCAACCAAAGCTGTCAGGGTCTCTTAAGTAAGTCTGATGTGGTCGTTTCTTCTTTCTCAGCCCTGCTTTTTGCTGGAGAGTTCTGAGTTGAAGCTTCCAATGTCTGTAGCTGCTTGCCAATTCTGTATCTGATGCAAAGAATTGCTTGGCCCGCTCCTGTTCTTGCTGAAGCCCTGACTAAATGTTCATTGACACGCAGGAACGCGAGTCCCCTTGTTTGTGTATGAATTCCATATAATTTGGAACTAATCACTGCTTTTGTTGTTAGTTGTTAATCTCCAGCTGCGGGCCCCATGGAGTGGCAGGACGGTCAGGTCCCTGTCCCGATTCCCTGTGGGGCTGCAGGTGCTCGTGTTGTCACAAGCACAAGGGGCAGGAACGAGCAGCTGGGGGTGGGGGACACCAGCCCCAGCCAGCACCCTGCTGAAAGCTCACTTGTGAGACTGCAGCCTCCGAGGGGAAGGTTTGCTCCGTCAGTAGGCTTCCAGAGCTTGGGTGCACGGGGCTGTCTCTTCACCTGCTGCTGTTGCTTGTATAGGTTCTGTTCTTCAGTTTCTCTTTTTCAGTTCCCATTTGGCGCTGTATTTTTTGGAAGCATATTCAAAGCTGGTTCTGTTTCTGCCCACAACTTCCCACACATCTCTGCAAATTCAAAACAGGCGGCTTTAGCCCCATCCTTCTGACCTTTTTTGTGGTTTAATTCCTATACCATACACAGGATAAAATACAGCAGAGGTTTTTATGGTAGTAATATTTTTCAAAACTGGTAATGTTCTTGCAGAAAGCAAGCTAACTTGTGCTTATTTTTATATGGTGGCAGCATACTCTGAAGTAGTACATGACAGTTAAATTCTTTGGGTCCAGTGCTTCAGACTACTGCAGAAGTTCATCTTTTTGCACAGTCATTGTATAAGCAAGATTTTAGAGGAGTTTGCAAGGTAACACATAATTTTGTGAAGGCGGTGTTACCGTTGTGTAACGCAAGAAATGCTAGATGACAGGTTTTTGCAAAGACAGAGCCATGTATCGTGGTCCCAGGAAACTAGGCTTTTGTGCAGATTGGGAATATTGAAGTGTTCCTGTTTTCTTAAGTGAGATAAACTGTGATTCAGTTCTGATACAGTAGACATAACTTTCTACATGCAAAAGTTATTTTGGGTGATTGACCAATATTTTACCTGATGTTTCATAATTCATTACGACCAGCTATACAGTCAGTTTGAAGCGTACTGCGTACGGCTGCATGGAACAAGCGGGAACTTTTTTGCTCAACTTGTGTCTCTGATGAAATGTTTGCAAACTAGCTGTGCTCTTGATCGATAGGATTCCTTCTGTTCCAAAGCTGAAAAGGAAAGCTGCCAATTAGCTGAGCTGAACTACAAGTGTCAGACCTCGGACTTGCTTAATTCTTTTGCAAAGCCTGCAGCTGGAAAGATGTTTGTGCCCCATGGTGGGGCCTCTATAGTTGCTGTCCTTAGAAATGCAGCTACCTTACAGAACTAGTTTGATTTTTATTGAACGTAAAGACACTCAACACATGGAATTATGGATGTATCCGTATCTTGGGTTGTTTTTGTACGGATTCGTTTTTTAATTCTCTGAGGTAGACCCATACCAAGGTACTGTCTTTCTGGAATGGCAGTTCTGTGCATGAAGGAATTGTCATTACTCCGGTGCAGATTTTTTCACAGCATTAGTGCCTTAAAAGCAGTAAATGGCAGAACTGGGGATTAATGACAATACTTTACAAGCAAGCTAACTTTCTGCAAGTGTTTCAAGTAATAGTTTTCATGTGCTCACATTAAAAGCTGCATTCAGTTTGTCTTGGAGAACAAATTGCGGGGGTTGTTATGCTGACATTTGTACCTAACCCATTGCTGTTGTAGGTTTCTTGGGCATTTGTACGCAGCAGAAGCTCTCATCTCTCTAGACAGAATATCCGATGCCATCACTCACTTGAACCCCGAGAATGTCACTGATGTTTCCCTTGGGATCTCTTCAAATGAGCAGGATCAAGGTTAAGGAATCCAGACTTCATTAGAACTGATATGCTTTCAGCTGCCTTCCTGCTGTGAATTTCTATATACAAATATAATGATGGTTAAGACACCTTGTTTTAAGACCGTAGGTGGTTGGGGGGGGTTTTGTTTGTTTGTGTTTTTGGTGGTGGTGGTGTGTTTTTGTTTTCCTGGAGTTAGTTCCTACTTTGTGTTTGGTTTTTCTCTCACATGTTTGTCATTCTAATTTGGTAACGTAAACAGGACTGTATATTGTAGCATACTGGCTTGTTGGAACGTAACTCTTGAAAGCTGCTTTTGTTAAATATGCAATTATGGTCAAGTTTTGGCTTCGTACCTTCTCTTCCAGCTTTTTAGTCTCTGAATCAGGCTTTGGAGTATCAGTGAAGTCTACTTACTGCATTTAGTGAGAGACAGGGGTAGGGAGAACTTAGTTAATCTGTATCTTAATCTTCTTGCAGTGCTTCCACCTGGGAGCATGTATTCTGTAACAGAAAAATACTTCAGAGCGCATCTGTGTAGTTAAGTCTGCAGCAGCTCTGATTTCAGTGACATGTCTCTAGTTTAAACTTCACTGTACTCATCTGCAAATCTAAAAGCTTTTAGAGAAGCAAACTATTAAAGAGAGGAACTCGTAAGTGGCATAAACTCCTGAGCAAGCTGGTGTATTTTCCCTCTTTAATGTCAGACCATGTAGACAGAAGCAAATTTGTATCTTTTGTATTATTTTTGTAATAAGTTTTAAAAAAGCTTATGGAATGTGATGGTTTTCCTGGGTTTTTTTTCTTTGCAGGGTCTGACAAAGGAGAGAATGAGGCGATGGAATCTTGTAAGTACCAGCCACTGTATTCAGCAGAGTACAGAAATGTGCTTGGCCAGTTCAAAAGAAAAGTGTAAGGAAGAAAAAAAGAATAATTTTTTTTAATTGCAGCTGGCAAGCAGACCCCACAGTGTTACCCTAGTTCGGTCACATCTGCGCGAACAATGATGTTGTTTAACCTTGGCAGTGCTTACTGCTTGAGGAGTGAATATGACAAAGCTCGCAAGTGTCTTCATCAGGTATGGAAAAGAAATCTTAAGACAGCTCTAGGGACAAATGTACTTCCTTCAGAGTGCCATGTAGCTCACAGCAAATCCTGGTGATTTCATAGCTCAGGTTTATTTGCTGACTCTGCTGCAATGGCGGCTCTCTTCTGTCGCTACGAACCAGTCTGTATTAGTGACATAAAATAAAGGAATTCCAAATCTCTTACCTGTGTAAATAGTTCAGTACCACTATGGGAAGTATGTATTTTTTAAAACCATATCAAAACAGTGGAATATAACTAGGAAGCCATTTCAGTTTTTCTAAGTTTTTTTTTTTTTTTTTTCATCCAGTAGTAATTCTTGTATTTCAGAGAAGAAAGTTCTTGAGTTTACTTGTCTCTAATCAGTTAATAATGCCATTTAAGCTGTTAACTTTAGGGCTGTGAGAACAAACTGCAGTTGTGCTGAAATTATGTTTCCTGCCTGCCTCTTGTCCCAAGAATTCTCAAGCGCTGCTTTTGAAGCTCCCTGCCTTCACTTGGCCTGTGTCATTCCGTCTTTCTTATGGCTGGGACCGATCTTTCAATGATGATGCGCTTGTCTCTCTGTGCAGCCATTCCTGTCTGCCAGGAAGACTACTCGAATGCGCCACTGAGCTGCAAACTGAAACAGCGGGCTTCCACATCACTTCACAGCAGCTGTATAGGTGAACAGATTCAAATTCTGTGAAGTTCTCAACTGTTTAAGGCCGTTGGCTGGCTTTTTTTTTTTTTTCTCCTGAGGCCTCCTAGGATTGGGCAGGCATCTGTGCTTGAGCTCTGTAGCACGTGTGTAAAGCCCAGAGGAGTGTAAGGCCATCTGTGTGTGTAAAGTGTAGTAGGTCTCTGCATCTACAACGAATTTATTGACTTCATAGCTGAAAAATATTTGTATGTGGAAAGCTAATGAACAATCCTTGTTAACTTTGTGTTCTGAAATTTGGAGCAGTGACGGTTACTTTCTTCACCTGTCATCTCACCAGGAAACCGTGGTAGACTGGCCCAAGAATTACAGACTCGTATTAACATAAGCATACAGCAGATGGTGCTGCTAATTAGCGTGAAACAATCTTGCCATGCAGATAATCTTTCAGTCTCTCCTTGCATGCCTAAACCTGATGGAGTGTATTAGTTTGAGAAAATCATATCTTAGTTTATGAATTGTTATTTGGTTTTGTTGGCCAAGATGATGGTAACAGTCTTGTTAAGGGGTGCTTTCTTTCAACTGGATGTTTCTCTTAAGCACTTTTTCTCCCCCCCTTCTTTTTCCACAAGGCTGCTTCGCTGATCCACCCCAAAGAGATCCCTCCAGAGGCTATTCTGCTGGCTGTCTATCTGGAATTGCAGAATGGTGAGTTTTGAAATACTCTGTCAACCTAGATTTGGGATACAAGGGGAGGAGGGCGGTAGTCATTATTCTTGGTCTTTCTAGAGCTGTGGCAGTATTTTGAATGACACCCTGTTGGCCCTGTCTCCATTTTACGCTGCTATGGGTCTGTGTGTCTGCACCTTCATTTCCACCGTTTATTGCCATCCTCTCCTTATACACTCCAGACTTCCTAAACATTCGTCTTCTGAGCTGAAATCTTCTGTGCATTGTGCAGAAATCAGCAGTCTTGGATAGGCTCAGTAAAACCCTTGATGAGGTTTATCCTGTACAGACGGCTTGGAAGGCTTTTGGTTAAAAGACAGCGGCAACCCAGGTTTCTCAAAGAAGCCACATCAGGGGCTACGTAGCAAGTACTGTAAGAAAGCTTTGTAATATTGGTAACTCTCTCTTCCACACCCTTCCTTTTGAAGGTTCACTGTGTTTGTGTGGGGAAAAAACTCTACGTAATGGGAAACTGGAAGGATGGCACTGGAATTCCGCAGTGTGAGCACGGCTGTCGTGGCTGCGGACCTGTGCCCCGCAGGGCTTCATGTCGCCGGGTTGTAAAACGTCCGGTGTGCTTGTTCCCCTGCAGTTGTCCTGCACGGCAGGCAGGCAGGCAGAGGGCTTGAGCATTTGTATTCAGAGTTGAGACTTCTACAAAGCTTTTCTTTATAAAGATATTTCTAAGTTGGAATTTTGGAAACCTACCTTTCTGCAACAAAGTAGTACAGAGCAGAGGGGAGTAGAAAGTGGGATTTGCATCTCGCCCCCTTCTAGGTGTATAACCAAAAGGAGCTAAAGACATATTTTGTTCTATAACTGGCAACAAAACGGTGCATCTATTCTGAAACTAAAACTTTAGTGAAAGAAAATTTTTTGATAAGGAGAAATGTTCTTTTCAGAACTTCACTGTGTTTCTGCTACCATTTTATAGGTTTAATTTTTAACAAAGAGTAAGTTTTCCATTTATACTGGTGTTTCTTTGATGGGCCACACATACAGGTTTCTATCGAAAACATGTTATATGTACACCCTTGACACTTGCATGACTGTCTGCAATGTCCTGTTGTGAGGGCATTTGGTGTGAGAGCTGGAGTCTCACTCTGTCGATGGCAGAGAAAAGAGGTGCCCTTTGGGAATTTATCGCTCTGAGGCAAAAGCTTGCCCTCTTCAGCTCAGAATAGGCAGAATGAAGCAATACTCTTTTTCCAAATTTACTTTTGTCTAATGTTTTTCATGCCCACATCAGCATTTCAGTGAACAGGAAGGCCACTAGTGTGCGTGGCCTGGGCTGGCTTGTCAGCTCTGCTCTGAGAACAGGGCTTCCCACGTCACAGGTGCTCTTATTAATCAAAGGTTGTCTTGTAGGTAACACACAGCTGGCACTGCAGATCATCAAGAGAAACCAGCTGCTCCCTTCTGTGAAAACGCTCTCCGACATGCGGAAGAAACCTGTTTTCCAGCCCGTCCACTCGATCCAGCCCATTCAGATGCCGGCTTTCACCACTGTGCAAAGGAAGTGAGGTCGTGCTTCAACCTGCTGCTGCCCTGCCCACGAGGGCTTGGGTTTTTGTATATTTTTTTTTAACCTAGGACACCTGCATACCCCAATTGATGAGTGTGTTCATTTATGTAAATTTTTAATAAAAATGTATAAACAAAAATGCATGCTTGAAGGTGTTTGTAAAGGTTATGTTGTAAAGGAAGAGAGGTTGGTATCAGGTTTGAATGTGAGTGGCAGGTTACTTACACACCTGGTTAGCAATTTCTTTTTGGTAATTCTGCACTTAAAAAGGAGAGAGGAGGGAGGTGCCTGGAAGGAGAATACCATTTACCTGAACCGAGGTAGTGCTGAAGGAGCAGCTGTGCTGCTGGCCTGAAGGCATCACCAGGTCACAAGGTCAAAGGGGTTGGGGTGTAAGGATACACTAGGTCCCTTAACAGCCCTCAACACCACGCTGCAGTACCAGTGCAGCAAGGTGGGGGTGCAGGGCAGGGGGGCAGTAGGTGGTGCTGGGGAACACGCCTGCTTTAGCTGGATGGGGGCTGTTGGTGCTGGGGTGTTTGGTGGGGGTGGTTGTGGTTTGGTGGTTTTTTTTTGCTTCGCGCTGGTTTTCCTGTGTCCGAAAGGAAGGTGTAATGGTGCAGGTACAGTGGAAGCGTCCCTGGCTGTGAGAAAAAGGCACTTTTAAAATTTTTTTCTGCCTTCTGCCCAAAGCAAGAGCCTGTAAGATGGCATAAGCAAAGTCTCTCTGATTACTTATTGTGAGCACAGAAGAGAGGAGCCATCCTGCCTTGGGACTTAATCCAGGCATAAGATCGCCAGAGCCCAGCATGGTGCACAGCATCTCTCCTCATCCCCTCCCTGGCCGCTTTGTGCCATTTCAGCTGTGCTGAGACTTTGCCCAGCTAATCGCCAGGGTAGCGCTCAGACAACACTTATCTCCCTATGCTGCTGGCACTGGACTTTGCCTCCGGCCACCACTAGGAAGGTCCCTTCTCCCTGCGGCCACCGGGGCTGCAATGTCTGCTGTTGCTGTAGGGGTGCAGCTGTGTACAGGTGAGGAAGGCAGGAGGACAGTCCTCTTCTAGACAGCAGGCTTTGCTACTTCTCAAGGCTTTCTGAGTAACGACCAAGTAGCTGACTTTCAATACCTTTGCTATCACTGCAGGAGATGGCACCAACTCAGCTAGGGGCAAGCAGTTTCACAATACCAGTACTTAA